TAGAATAATGCGCCACGCCCGTGATTCGAGACCGGAAGGGGGAAGTCAACAATACCCATGATGATGTGTTGGCACTTGCGGCCCACCGGCAATGATCACGATCTCAGGAACCGGAGATAAAGAATGCAAAAGAGAACCTTGGGACGATTTTGTACGGCCGAATGCAATTCAAAGAGAGTCTGCCAATGAGAGATGGAAGGTTCCCCTTCCTGCAACTGTCTAACCATTCTAGCATTCAACTTACAGTGCAAGTGACGGAGAGTGAGGCACCCGTTGACAGTTTTGGTAACTAGGTTACTTAAGCATAGCGATGGCCGGGAGAGGAATCTTGGCATCTCATCCAAACACCGCTGACTTGCATCTCTTCTGTTCCTTTTTCCTACTGAGTACGGAGTAGCTCCGTAGTACTTTGCTAAAGCAAGTTGCTTTAAAAAAAAGAAACTGAAACGGGGAAGGGGAAGGGGGAGAGGAAAGAGATTTCCTTGTTCCAGTAAGATTTGATAAGTACCAGACCCACTACAATTGAGGCAGTACCATAGATAGAAACACGCCGCTAACTTGTGGTAATCGAACAATATGATTTGTTCTAATTCTCGACGGGCCCCGCCTAGCAGGAGCTAGATTCCCGCTAAGAAAGATGCCTTGGTTTCCGTCGACGCTGCGGGTTCCACTTCAACTAAGTTGAGGAATACAGTAGACTCCCTTTCCCCTCTTTGCCTTCAAGGCTCGGAGACTCATGCACACTGGTGCATTTCACACATGCCAGGTCTGATGCAGCGCATTGCTATCGATCATTTATCTCTCTTCCGTAAGTAATGGCATAGCGGGGTTTTTGACAAGAGTGCGAAAGGGATGGATAGTACTCCGTAATTGCCATATTATACTCAGTAGTTACTTAGTGCTCCATGGCCATTCAAATGATTGACGGAACATTAAGGCGTGTCTAATGGGTGTACTGCATGTAATAACTAATCAGACTTAAGTTATTGCATTCCTTTCTTTTTGCGCCCTCTCTCACCCCTCCTCAATGTTTCGAATTCGATCTTGAACAAGAACAAGCCACCATCACGTTCATTATGTTATGCGCATCTTGTTTGTTTTATGAATGCAACCGGCGGACGGAGTCAACCGGCAAGTCAATACACTTTAAGAAAGTCAATCTGAGACCATAACTCTATCAATCCATACTTTCTCCTTCACGGTTTCATGTCAATGATCGAAAGCCAGTGGCGAAATTCCCCATTGTACTGTGTTAATCAGGTGCAACATGCAGCATTGCTGGTCGCGGAGACAGCCGTTCGATGGCATTCCCCAAATTGTTCTGCAAACAGAAAGGTCCTACGGATCCGGGCTCGGTATGGGACTTTTTGTCGATCCCTACTGCGGGTAGATACTGTGGCATGCCGGCTTCGACAAACACCGCCGCCCCCTTCCCGGTTGTTCCAGCGGCGAAATTCCCCTGAGAGAGTATGAGGTAAATATCCAATAAAAAAAAGAAAAAAAAACAAATAGTTGCTAGTATCGCCGGAGTGATGGGGATGGATTATATGGTATTGCCGGAAAAATGAAATCTTTGTGAGATGAGCTGCAAGCTGAGAGATCTTGAGGGTCGAAATTGGTCTTTCAGACTCTCTCTTTCTGTCTATCTACCCTGGGAATGAGTATCGAAGCCTCTCGTCGAGAGTTTCAAGCATGGAGGGTCCATTTCGTACCACTTCTCAGTTGAGCTTGGATAATCGGCAGCACCCAGGGTCTGGTCTGGAAGCACCCTCACCTATTTTAGGATGGTCGACGATCTTCAATGAAGGTGGTTGCTTGCTTTGAGCATTGACTGGTCTTGGGTAGTTACACCTGATTGCCTAGACCTTCAGCTTCCCTCAACTACGAACATACAGTAGGTAGTCACAGTTCATTTTAGGGGTCTTTTGGGAAGTATAGTTGGGTGCTTTTATGCAATGCATGCATGCATCGTGATGGTTGAACCCCCCACCATCCCAACCATCCATCCATCCAACCATCCACCCCTCATACAGGCTGCGGAATCAACGGAGGGGAGAAGATCGAGGATCCAGCTGGATATTTATTGATCCCCAATCCTCCCTGTTTTACCTTGGTTTCTAGCTTGTTACCAGAACCAGGTTAGTGGCGCAAAGAGCCTGAAAATAAAATTCGGAACTGCCCACTTCCTGCGACCGCAACGGAGGCACACACCCGCTTTTCCCATTCGTAGTTTTCGTAGTTCTGGTGCAATGGCGCACTTTGGCTGTTCCAAGTCTATCGTTGGAGGGACCCGCAGCCGAAGCCAGCCTAGCCAGTACCTCACTCTACCGAAGAGCCTTGGTAGTCTAGTCATCATAAACTGGCCAATCTCCCTTTCGCCGATTGCAGCGGGCGAATCCCGGGCCTGACCTCGACCACCACCACCGGCGATGTGGGTTTCAGGCAGGGTGGATTATGAATGACGGGAGGATGTGCTGTGCTGCTGCTGTTGCTGCACTGGTTTCAATGACCGCTTGGTCGCATCATGGTTGGCCCCAAACCCACCATTGAGGTCCCAAGGTGGATGTGGATTGTCGTGTCCATCAAAATAAGATTGTTAAATCACTTAAAAGAATTATGTACGATCTTATTTCCTCAACAACCAAACAATGCCATAACCAGGATATTTCGACGGGCAGTGCGTTTGAATTGAACCCCGTTGTTTCCGCCTCCTCTTTCTCCCCCCTTTGCCCTCGTTCCTCAACAGCCCCCGCTCTTCCGTCGTCATCGTCCTCGTCGTCGCTGTCGTCGGCGGCGCGCGGTCATACGTGGATCTGTCCGTGACTTAGTGGCGGTGGACACTAATGCTGTGGGTGAAGGATAATTCCATGGCTTGAACGCCTGGTGGGGGACTTGACTCGTCCCTGGTTCACATTCAGGGGTAAAAAAGAATGATATCGAGATGGAGAGAAATGGATTGATGACTGCGTTTATCAGAGATATCATGGGGGCTGGCCTGCTTTCGTCGGGGGGGGGGAGGGGGGGAGGAGGCAACAATGTCGCCTGACTACTACTAACTACTCTTAGTACCCCAGTCTATCGAGTGGTTTTATTGCCGTTAATTGCATATCCCAAGTACCAGACTTGAGCCAAAATACAAACGAATATAATGAACATGTCCAACTATTTAGCAGTAGGATAACAAGCCGGAGAGCGCAAGAGGGACCGAAGAAGCGAACCGAACATACAAAAACCTGTTTGTTGATTGGGAACGATAGGACGGAAGCAAGCCTGTAGCGTGGACAATACTCTGAACGGGTTAGTTCGTACAACAAGTCTGGATGAAGAATAACTACTACTCATCAGTTATCAGCATCGCCTGTGTGAGTGTTCTCAGTGGCCTCAATATGATGGGTTTCTGTTGGACTGCCATACAAGTGAGTATCCAGTCAATGATTAACAATAAATGGGCACTCAGTCCCTTTTACCCCCCGAGCAATTTGAACAATCGTCTTTCATTGAATGTTGTGGTGATTGACATACAGCAGATCATGGCTTGTTTACCCCATGCCTGCAGGTAACTATCATAGTAGGCGTAGCATATGAGCATAGTTAGTGTCAGTAACTCAGCAACAAAGGCAGTGCTCCGGAGTTCACTAAGTAGTATTCTTAGCATGCGGCCAATTTCAGCCCATCAGTATTATTGTCTGTCTCTTTCTCTCTCTCTCCGGGGGGTCCTCATCACGCCTTGTCGTCCTTTCCCATCCCCGGAGGCAGACATTCTTTCTTACTCAGTCACACACACTTGGTAACTACACACACCCTTCTCTCGCCATTTGATTGTCGCTTGCAGCTCTTTTGTTTCCGTCTTTCTCCTTTCCCCTCCTTACTCTCTCCGTCGACAGTCAATCCTTTCTTTCTTTCCTGCCTCCGTTTCCGGATCGAGCCCTGGCGGGGGATCCACGAACGACCGTTAGAGGTTTATGGGTGAACAAGCAAACCAGGTAAGAGAAGAAAAAAAAAGTAAACCAAAAAAAGTTTAAAAAATATTATTATTATTCCAGTGGAGGAGGAAAAAGATACGTACGGCTCCATCAGCTCTCCCATTTGGGCTGTCCATCCGCCCAAAAGCTGACTGAACTGAACTGAATCGAATTGCCGGTTCATCTTTGCTGGTGTTGGTTGCTGATGCTGATGCTGGTGCTTTGCTGGTGCTGCTGCTACTGCTACTACTGCGAACACAGCCAAACCATCCAATCCACACCTTATCCCCATCCCCAATAATTCCTATTCCCATTCCGAATCTCTTCTTTTCTCCTTCAACCTCTCTGATTGCTGCTATCTTCTTCCCCTTTCACTAACTATCCTTCCTTCTTTCTCAACCCACCCTCTCCCTCTCTCTCCTCCCTCACCCCTCTCTTTCTCTAGCTCTCTCTCTTTCCCTCTCGTTCCGCCAAATTTGTGTGTTTTTACTCTCCCTCACGCTCCCTCCCTCCCTCTCCCTCGCTACGATCATCACCACCTCCTTTCGTTTGTCCTGGTTGGAATTCCTTGACTTTTTCTGTTTTGATTTTCGCGAAATTTTCCTTCTGTGATTCCCCTTACTTTCACTATCTTACACTTGGCGCCTATCGCGTGTGTCCAGCATTCGAATCGAATCGATAATCCTAGTTTCAGCGATCGCACTGCGTTCCTTCGTTCGGTGGCAGCCTACGTCAATCGCGCATCCCAGCCGTGATCTCTGGCGACTTTGGTCCGGCTCGCAGTTAGGCGATAACTCACGGTTCCCTTTTTTTTTCCACCATATCGGCTGGTGGGAACGCTTCTTTCCAAGTTTGATCGGTCACCATGGCTCCTCCACCGCGCCTGCGCGTTTTGTCAGGTTAGTCTCTCAGTCTTCGCCGGTATCAGATTCGGCCAGGACGGACGGGCTCCCTCCGTCTTGTGCTCCGGATCAGCCTCACGCTGCCACCCCCTTCGATGATTTCCCTTCTCCAACTGCTTCGATCGCCAATCTCAATATGGGTCGTCGTCTAACACGAGTCTGTGTAGTTGGCAGCAACGCTATCTCAGCTTTTCTTTCCTGGAGGCTCCAGGCGTCCACCTCCTGCGACGTAACGCTAGTCTGGAAATCGGGGTTTGAGGCGGTTTCGCAATACGGGGTTTCTTTCAAGTTTGTCTCTCTGGCTATACTACACAACGCAGAAGGCCTCTAACAATTGACCAACAGGTCGAAAGCATTTGGCAATGAGAGATTCAAACCTCGTCACGGTATGTTATCTTTTTTTTTTTTTTTCGTGTCGGATTACCGCAAGCGGTTGTGCTGGTCAGCTGACATCGGTCATTCTACAGTGGTACGTTCACCGGAAGAGGCGGCATCACGAGAGAATGCATATGATTATGTTATTCTTTGCGTGAAGGCCTTGCCCGATGTCTACGACCTGGCAGCAGTCATTGAATCCGTGGTTACCCCTCAACATACCTGCATTCTGCTCAATACCACCAACACCCTTGGTGTCGAATCACACCTTGAACAACGATTCCCCACGAATGTAGTCCTCTCGCTCGTTTCTGGTGTAGAGATCTCACAGATTGGGCCCAGCGAGTTTGAGCATTTGAACTCGTCGAATATCTGGGTCGGGGCTACCAACAACAATTCAACCCTTCCATCGGGTATGCAAACCGACATGGCGGCCGCCTTGGCGATGACCTTGAGCTCCGGTCAAGTGGAATGCAAAGTGTCGAACAACATCAGACAAGAGCAATTCGAGCGTATCATAGGGTGAATATTCCGAGTTATCCTTCCTTCGAGTCTATGACACTAATCAGCCATCATCCAGGCCTATTGCATTTTACCCAACAAGCGTCATGTTTGACAACGGAAACGTAACAGAACTCCTGCAGAAGGTCGGAGTACGGCAATTGGTTACCGATGTGATTGACGAGCTCATTGGTCTGGCCAAAGCGCATGGCTGCTCTTTCCCAAGCGACTTTCCTCAGAAGACAATGGATGCGATGGCCGCGTCTCAGTCTCCCAACACTATGTATCAGGATTTCCAGGCTCGCCGTCCTATGGAGATCGAGACGTACCTCGGATCCCCAATCAAGCTGGCAACAGAACTCAATATCCGCCTGCCCCGCATCGAAACCATCTACGCTATTTTGCACCACGTTAATACCACTAATCTAAGCAAACCTCGCGAATCGCCCACCCCGTCTGTCCAAGCTCCGCCACCCCAACCCACCCGGATGTCCTCAGCTCCCCCACCGAGGAATGGTCCTCCCATGCGCCCGCCTCCTGGAAGGTCAAGCTCTGCAATGATGATGCCCCCTCCTAGACGTGGACCGCCCATGCCCGGAATGTCACGACCCCCAAGCACACAACCTCCGCCTCCTTCTGCCAGAATGCCTCCTCGTGAGCCGTCTCTGGAGGGACTGGAGGAATTCAGCCACCTAGTTGTCTATGATGACGCTGGTGAAGCTGGGCCTCCTCCCAGGAACCCTAACGGTTATCCCGACGTCCCTCCTGGTCCTGCCCACTCGCAGTCGACTGCTGACTTGTCCTTGAGAGAGCGAGAGTTGGCTTTGCGGCAGCGCGAGTTGCAGCTTCGAGAACAAGAAATGAGCATGAGGCGGGGACCGCCCCGCAGGAATGCCCCCTCTAGGGCCACTTTCGATGAGGAAGACGAGGATGATTATTTCGATCCCATGGATACCAGCCTGGTCCCAAACATCGACCCGGACAATGTGGATATGCTGAGCATCACGTCGCGAAGAGCCAAGAAATTTCCGAGTGCCAGCCAAATACGCAAGAACCCTGAGCTTCTGTCCAATGGCGGTGGCGGCGGCCGGTCGGGTACATTCAGCCGCTACTTTGGGGGAGGAAGAAAACGTGCCAGTGATCGCATCATGCAGGAAATTCCTGGACTCCATGATTCCCTCTTGGATAACCCCATGATGGCTTACTCGTCAAACCGATACGGCGCTGTTGATAGAAACCAGATGGCTGCAGGTTCACGTACCAACTCCATGACCACGAGTCGCATGGGCGACTATCCCCCGCACCCCTACCCACACAGTAGGAGAAACAGTCATTCGCCGGCGACTCCTTACGGTGGCCCGCCTGGTCCTCGCATGGGCCGTCCGGCCACTGCTCAGGATCAACACTTTGGCCCTCCTCATGGGCCCCCGAACGGCAGTCATCCGTCTCCTCCGGGACACATGCGGGCACCTGTTCCCAGGTATCCCCCAGGCCATGGTAATGCGGTAGGCCCGCAACAAGTTGAGCAACAAATTGGGGTGAGCAATTCGTATCCCACCAAGGGCACCCCAAAGGATAGAAGTCTGACTGGAAGTGCGAGCGCCAGCGCGGGGAGTGGTGATAGCGGCGCCAGTGCGAACCTCGATTCCGAGAATTCAGCCCACAGCAGCCAGATCAGCCTCGGCGCGCAGCAAGCTGCGGCGCCTGTCCGTTGAAAGCCAAGAAACCGTTTCCCCTCCAGCCCTCCCCTCGCCGGTAGCTGAGCACGTTGATCCCTTTTGACTGTGCGCATGCTTGCCGTGTCCACTATACTTCCTCATTCTCCGCCTGTACTGGATTGCCGTGAAGGGGAATCCACCCAGGTTGCTTTCTGCCTCTTATAAAGGATATACTTTTAATGAGAAGCTCGGCACCAAAAATAAAGAGGATTGAACCGCACCCTGTGTCATCCTCCGGTTTTGTTCAATTGTTCACATATATGCAACGGACTTAAGGACCTTCCTGAATTTCTCAATTGGTTGAGCGGGCGCTGTTGCGCACGTGTTGCTTGTGGGGGTGACTGTATCTCTTTTACCCACATCTCTTGCCTCAATCACCTCTGCAGCAATTCCTGATTCCCATGCTGACGGGCCTCCGCTCGAGCGATAAATACGTTTTTCTTTTTTAACTTTTCGCAGCTATACCACGGACGTTCATTCTCCAGTACTGACCATACATTCTGCTTCTGCATGACAAATTGTTGTACACTATGCGAGTCGGCGCATGATTTTGTCGAGTTCATACATGTGGTTCCGTCGTCTCTTGATTTTATCATCTCTGCCTGATTCTTTTCCTTATCTTATCCAAGTCAGTCTGACATGCATGCCCTCCTTTGCATTTCCTAAACCATTGTCTTTTTTAATGTTCCTATGCAGCCCTGCCGTTTTATTTCATCGTGGTCTGGTTTCTGGCGCATAAAAAGAGCAGGGGGTTCATCATTTATTCGGGTGATTGCTGTGTTTGATTTGGCTGGGTTCATGTTCATGCAGAGTAATAGTGAAAGCCACCAGGCCGTCAGATGGCACGGCAACTGTTCATTTGATTAGAAAGAACCATGTCCTCCACAATGAACCAACTTCGATCGGAACATTTTATTGCAATGGTAGTCGGTGTAAGGTGTAAAGCTTTTGGAGGGGATCTCCGCGGCGACGCTTGCACGTGACCCGAACCGTAGATGTCAACAAAACGGAGAGCCCTCAATTTCAAGCACAACTACAACCACGGACCCGATCTCCTCGCCAGCTACCGCCTTTGCCAACACACGAGTTTCAGTTTATATCGAGCGAAAAACGTAGACAACCATGCCTCCTTCCCACCAATACACCCACAGCCAAAGCCACTCCCACCACATGCCCCGCCATTCCATCCTCCCCTCCTCGGCGGCTCCTTCCATGGACTACGGCGGCGGCAGCAGCAGCAGCAGCAGCAGCAGCAGCAGCACTACCAGCATGTCCATGGCCAAAACCCGGCAGTACGCCAACCTGCACGCGCAGCTGGCGCAGCTGAACAGTCACCTCCGCGACACGGAGAACCTGGTGCGCATGACGGCCGTCCAGGCGGAGGATATGCGCTTCCTGGGGGGATATGTCGGGGCCCTGTTTATGGGGTCGGCGAAGGTGTTGGGTGAGGAGGGGATTATTAAGACTGAAGGTGGTGGTTCTGGTTCTGGCTCTGGTTCTGCTGGTGCTGCTGGGGCTGGGGGCGAGAGTGAGAGTGAATGAGGAGTTTAGGCCTTTGGTATAGAGAGAGAGGGAGGGAGGGAGGGAGGGAGGGGGTAATGCTATGGGTTATTCTTCGGGGCCAATCAATGTAAGTTTTCTTTTGCCTCTTGGGATCTATGGCCCAATCTATTTATTGGATATGTTGCTAACTGCTATTTATATTGGAGGTTGATTCTATTGCTCTTTTTGATCGTCAATGGGGATGCTTCATTCCCCGTTGTCACCATTACCACCATTACCACCATTACCACCCATCGCCACTGCCAGTACAACGCTATCTGGCAGTCTACCAACTTTCCATCATACGCTACTTCCTACCGTGTCTGGTTCGCGGAAAGCAGGAATCGAAAATAAGGATGGGATCAGGAGTCGACCACGAACCCTCCACCTAGGATGATCGCCGGCTCGTCGATGCTGTGGTGCTCGTAACTGTTTTTTTTTCAGGGGGGGTTAGTTCGACTGCACTTGACACGGGGAAAAAAGGGACGAGAAGCAGGGGAAAAGCTGGGGCAAGAAGACTCACCTCAACGTGCCCACACCACCAGCCTCCAAAATCAAGGCCGTCTCCGTCAACGGCTTACCCGTCCACCGCATCGCAAACGCCCGCAGGATATGTCCATGCGCCACGATTAGGACATCCCCCTTGGCAGACTCGGACTCGAAACACGGGCCGTGGTATTTGGCGCGAATCTCGGCGATGAGGGCGTCGAGCCGCTTGATCACGTCTTCGGGGGATCTGGGTTCATCGCGCTCTTGTTAGCAGACACACACACACACACACAACAATCCTTCAGCAACTCATCATGGTCACCAGCAGGGACTCCAGATCCAATCTTTCTTTCTTTCTTTTTTTCCAGTAAGGCACAAGCGGGGACAGAACATACTCTCCCCCGGGACACCCATCGCGCCAAATATCCCAGCTCCCTTCCCCGTTCCGCGCCCGCACCTCCCGGATCTGCTGGCTCGTCAACCCCTCGTAGTCGCCGTAGTCCCACTCGCGCACCGCCTCTGTCACCTCCACCCGCGCCTCCGTGCGGATCGGCTCCTCCACCTCGGGCTTGCGCGCCGCCGTCCACGGCAGCCGCTCCTTGCACCCGATCTCGAGCAGTTCAAGCGTCCGTTGCGCGCGGGCTCGTGGCGAGACGTATCTATTCTCCCCCGCCCACGGGGTTCTGGGTTAGTCTTGTGTTCATGACTTTGTGTGTGTCTGTGGGTATACTCGCTGCGCAAAGCACAGCATTGTGGAGGTTTGGAATCCGGATCTCCCGGAAACAACAGCAACACACTTTTGTGTGCACAGCTAGAGAAACTGGGAAGGGAAAAGGGAAGGGAAGAGGGGACCACATACACATGAACGACCTTCCGCGGCGCGATCAATCGGTCATTCCCCACCAGGGCCTTGCCGGTGGCTTTGATGCGTTTCTCCCCGTTTGCGGTGAGGGGCAGGTCGGTGGTGCCCGTGTGGCGGCCGTTGAGGGACCATTCGGTCTCGCCGTGGCGGATGATGAAGCACCGGGGGCTCATGGCTTCGAATTGAGGGGAGAGGAAATTTTGAGTTGAAGGAGGGGAGGAAGAGAGAGAGAGAGAGAGAGAGAGAGAGAGTGTGTGTGTGTGTGTGTCTGCGTGTACAGAAAGAGGGCAAGTCAGAGATGAGGAAAGGCACGGAATATAATCAATCACTTCATAAACTCTTTCTCGTGTTCTCTTTAATTCAAGTGGGGGGAGTACCAGGAGCAGGAGGGGCCGTTTCCTCGTGTTGCGTCATTAATTCCATTAATCACAGGGGCAGGCGGGCGGGCTTATCGATAACTCACTCGCCCAAGGTCAATTACCAACTGGCGGAGATTCTTCTTGCTTATCAGAAGAGGCTTCCAAATTGTTGCGTCGATGTTACGTTATTGAACAACTACTCATAAGACGCGCCGATCTACTGATCTACGTGCTGGAACCTCCCACTCAAACATACATTGATAATACAGCTGTCATGCTAAAAGGCACTGGTATCCGGTAGTTGCTTGCTTATGACTCAGTATGCTTTTCTGCCTAGATGTCTCTGGTGTTTCCGGGCATAATCCAACCAGTGCCTCGCCGAAGAGCGAGGAAAATGTAACCGAACCATCACGCCAAAAGGAAATAATAAAAACTAACGACGAGATATAAAGGAAATAGCTTGATCGTATTCAACAGCCCGTGGCTTCAACCACCAACCATCTAAGCCATGTAGGTGCTGGAGTCAACACCGCCCTCGGGGTATTCGCTAGAAGTCCTTGTTAGTCTATATTGCAAGGATATATGGATTAAGGACTTACGGAAGGGCAACTTCGAAACGCTTCTCAATGTCCTTGAGAACCTTCTCGTCGTCCTCGGTGCTGACAAAGGAGATGGACAGACCCTTCGTACCGAAACGACCGGCACGACCGACACGGTGGAGATAGGAGTCGGCATCACCGGGCAAATCGTAGTTGATAGCGAGGTTGATACGCTCAATATCGATACCACGACCGAAAACGTCAGTCGCGACACAGATACGCTTGTTGAACTCCTTGAACTCTTTGTAGCGTTTGATACTACAAGTTGTTAGTAACCTTTCCCCTGATCTCCTGCTGAGGCGGACTTACCGCTCCTCCTGGCTCACTCCGGAGTGAACTGCGATACTGGGGAAGTTGCACTCGCGCAACAGCTTGTCGAGTTCTTGAGCACGGAGCGTGCTCTTGACGAAGATAATAACCTGGTTGAACTCCAAGCTATCCAAAAGGTCGTTCAGCTTACGGTTCTTCTCCGCCTCGCTGAGCTTGATGTAGTATTGCTGAAGACCGTGAAGGGTGAGCTTGGTGTCGTCATCGACGTAGACCTCGAGAGGGTTGCGCATGAACTTCTTGCAGACGGGCCGGATCTCCTGAGAGAGGGTGGCACTGAACATCATAACCTGCTTATCGGCGGGGGTAGCACGGAAGATCTCCTGGACATCACGGCGCATGTCTATGACGTATGATTAGCATGCATACGGATCACAGGATGAAAAAGAACTAACCAATCTGGTCAAGCATCTTGTCACACTCGTCAAGAACGAAAGCCTTGACATTGCGCAGTGACAGCTTCTTATCGCGGACCAAAGCATTGAGACGACCGGGAGTACCGACGACAATGTTGGGATAAGACTCCTTGTTCGCCAGGACCTCCAGATCCTTCTGGATGGGAGTACCACCGTAGAAGACGGCGGTGCGGACGTCGGGAAGGTACTTGCTGAAACGAGCATACTCGTTCTTGATCTGGTAGGCCAACTCACGGGTGTGGCACATAACGAGGATCGAGCACTCTCCCGGAACAGGCTCCAGCTGGTGCAATGTGGTGAGGACGAAGACTGCAGTCTTACCGAGACCAGACTTGGCCTGGCACAGAACATCGACGTTCAAGATGGCGGTGGGAATGCAAACTTGCTGGACTGTGGTAGGCGAGACCGTATGTTAGACTTGTACTCGATGTATGAGACTTGAAATGAAAGTAAAGCAATCCGTGTCGCAAAGTCCGTCCATCCCCCAGGTATCGAGATAAAGGATGACACATTAATCTGACAACTCCAGCACAAAACACAACAAAGAAGAATCTCGAGGGAGCAACGGATCGATGAATCCAATCACCAGCGATACAGACTCCAATTCCAAAAGCTCTCTGCAGGCGGCAAGAGGACGAGTATCATGTGAAAACAGTGAAGAAGCGATGCGGCTTCTTTTAACACATCCACTCGAATAGTAATATCAAGTGGTCACAGGCGAGATAAGGCCCCAAGGATCTTGCTGAACATGGTCTTGCCGTAATTTGCCAAGCAAAAGGAAAGCAACAAGCGGAAGCCTAGATTGCTCTCTACTCTTGCATGCAGGGTTGGGCTCGTCTTTTTAATGACCCGAAACACGCATCATCCTCATGCCGCCCACAAGCTCGAACGAAATATGTATGCCCGGAAGCGACTATGGAACTCTTTTTCCTTCCCGCGGAGATGGACGGACGGACGGACGTTGAAAATTGGAGCAATGGAGGGAGGTTTTGGTTTTTTGGGAAAGAATACGTATGATGGACTAACCCTCCGATGGATGTTCGAAACCGCAGTCGGTGATGGCACGCAAAAGCTCTTCCTTCAGCAGGAAGTCACGGAAACCGGTCGAGTGGATACCGACATAGCTGCCCTTCTTGTCGGAGCGGCCGCCAGAAACAGTCAGATCGCCCTTCTTGGCCTCTCCATTGGCGGCGGGAGCAGCGGTGGTCGCGGCCGCATCGGTGGTGGGAAGCTCCTCGTCGGAGTAGTCGATGAGATCCTCCTCGTGAGACATGTTGATGGTTTGTGGTGAGATAAAAGGTGGTCTGGATGGGGAAAACTCTGTCTGTTGAGGCGCGTTGCTTTTACCAAGGCAAAGAAGCCTAGGTCCGATGTGGTCGAAAAAGCGGGGTTGAACCGGTGGGAATAGGTAGATCTATGTTCTGAGTAGTACGTGAGATGCTCTCGCTGATGCTGTGAGATAGATTGAGGGTGATGGCAGGTTGGTTGGCGCGAAGGAAGGCGATGGAGATGGAGGGAAGGACATTCGCCGCGCGAAGGGATGGAGCGGCTGAGCCTAGACAGCTCGATCACGTGCCAAAGTCGATTAGTCATGGTTGGGCCGGGGCCTGGCGACCGCATTCGGTTAGCTTCATAGTGAAGGAAAGCTTCCTCATCCATTATTATTCTCTCCACATCCTCCAGTACGACTGTTGCAACACAATCATTGAAAAGGTCTGATCCCCGGCCAATCATCGCAATGGTCAAAGGAAAATCCAAAGGCAAGAAAGATTCTGCAGGAGGTGTCAACAGTCATATACGCGCGCGCATTGACTATCTATACAAAGCGGCCACTTTCCTGCAAGCCCAGTCCAGCGCTCGTCATGTCGGTGACTCCACAGATGAGACAGAAGACCAGAAGCCGAGTGTCTCAACACGTATAGTGCCACTCATTTCTCCCTCTGCTGGTTCTGTGAGCGAGACCACGGCCCTGGATGGGCAGAACGCGGCGACGGGCCAGCTACCTCAGCTTTCTCGGAACTACCTGTCGCAAATGCGCGGCGTATCTCTGAAAACGCAACTTCGCCTACCGGTTGACATGAAGAGATCTTTCTGCAAGCGATGTGATACGCTTCTACTTCCTGGAGTAACTTGTACGCGCGAAATGAGGAATCCCAGCCGCGGCCGCAGAAAGCCATGGGCTGAACTCTTGGTCATTCGTTGCTCTACTTGCGGGTCAGAGAAGCGTTTCCCTCAAACAGAGAAGCGCAGCAAGAAGCTGACTGATCGTCGGCAAGAACAAGGGCAAGAGAAGCAAGACAATCAGAATGATGCAGGCTCTTGAGGATACTACCCACGCTACAAAGATGTTCATCGAAGCCGTTGTCTCGTATTGCCTCCAATCAGCATATGATCGTTGAAAGATCTTGCAAGATAGTCCTTAAAAGCTATGGCAGGACGTCGTCGGTTTCTTAGCCAGGCTCAATCCTCGGGATCTCGCCGGATCTTTCGCCGTGAGGCTCTGCACGTGTGCCGTCATGCCTACTGAATTGGTACAACTGGCATACATCGAGTTATTCACATTGAGCTTAGTTTCTTTGCTTCGCTCTAACAGAAGTGCTCCGGCCAACACGACATGAAGGGATTTGCAAATAACACCATTACCTGCAATCGTCCCTCACAGCAACGGCTTTCTCGGGTCTTGCAAGTCGCAGTGCTAATCATCTGCCGGGTTCATTCTGACCGAGGCATCAATATTACATGTGCCTATATATCACGAGGACCAGTGGGAAGGTCCAATGATGTAGGGTGCTACCGCACGGTGGGTTCCAGAGTTAAAAGCGAAGACAATATTAAAATCAAAAGACGTCATGTCAAATAAATATAAATGCATACCGGGGAATCGCATCATGATGGAACAAACAGTCGGGTCATCAGATTCGTAGGTTGGGAGGCGTGAATCATAAATCAGGAGACAAGCTCCAGTGGTAGCCAAGTAAAAAGTAGAGTTCAAATGCCAATAACGCCATGCTTGTTCCTGTCAAGCCTCGATCATCTCGAATTCAAAATCGCCGCGTGGCGAACATCCAAATCTCTAGTCAATAGTCCTTCGAATACATAACCAAAAGAGAAACTATTTCCTCCCATAGACTCATGGCTCAACCATGATTGGAATCATAGTAAGCATATAGAACGCTGTGCTAGTTGTGCAGAGCTGTAAAGTCATGTCATTGAGTCCGTGAGGACAGTATCGGTTTATGATTTGCAGTTTTTTGTTGGCGAAACGCGAGGGTGGGCGCTAAAAAGTTTCAATGTCGATGTCTCTGGGCTTTCGTTTGAGTTTTCTCAGGTTTGAGAGGCTTCTTATTGCCCAGGAGGGTTGCAGTGAATTGAACGATTTATCCCGTGGATACAGAAGCGTAAAGGATTAGAGGAGTGAGCATGGTGGGAAAAGGACTGTCCCTCGGCCGTATGAAAAGGAAATAGAGTAGATGAAGGGGATGACGACAAATAAGTGCCATAGGCGAAAAGCGGCGTTTCATAGACCGGAATGTAGAAGAAGATGGTTCTAGTTGAAGCGAATAGGGTAAATTGGCGTGTCTCAATGCCTCCGACGGGCAGCTTGGTCCAGGCGCTGGTCAAGACCTTCTATGCGGCCACGGTATGCTTTCACAATTTCTCTTATGTGGCCGATCTTGGCAAGCTCAGTTTCCAGCTCATCTATGGAGGCTAGAATGGAACGTGTGCGGGCGATTTCAGCATCGGCATTGCGTACAACATTTCCAGCACGATCGTAGCTGTTCTGAATTGATAGCTGCATTTGTTCCTCGAGCTACTGCAAATTAGCAACCGAGATCTTTGAGAGCTATTAGGATATATGCGCGCATGTATAGTACGTAACGTCTTCCACCAGCCGTAGATTGTATTCAGGCGGCAGCAAAGCGAGTGCAAACTGGTCACCCGAGGAGAAGGAGAGATGCTAAAACATGCATATTTTGCACATTGTAGGGATTGTCAAACATACATAGTCAATGCGACTCCGAATTTGTTGCTGTAAGGCATCCAGCTGCTGCGAAAGCGCTCGTAAACTCAAAGGGTCCAGAAGCAAACGGCCCTGACTGCTGGCGGCACTGGCGGCGCGCGAACTGGAATTGCTGGTGCGTCCGGTCCCCCTGCCTCTGGAAATGCCATTGGCGCCATGGCTGCCTTGAAGTGCAATTTGTTGTTGCTGTCTTAGGATCTGGATCTCGGAGGAGGTAAGGCCAAGCGAAGTGTCGGGAATCGATGCTGATACGGACATTTGGTCCCGGCAGAGACATGCTCCTACCGCGACAATGTTTTAGGAAGCGCCAGTTGATCTCGTAGTGTGGATGTAGACGGACCGCAGTTCATGATGAGAACCGGAGTAGGTAAGGGAAAAGACCACGAAGGAGCGTAGTGGCTGAAGCTTAGAGGACGGTGCGGCTGCGAAACGAGGTAGTGGGTAGGCGCGGCGAGGGAAATCACCTGCTGGGTAGAGGGAATTTGGCCGCGAGCAGGTCAATGGTGGTGAAGTATGCCTCTGCCCCAGGGCGGCCTAATTGCTCCTTGAGCGTCCTACGGTGTCATTGGAGGCCACCGAAGGAAGCTGGGTAGGAAAAGAAATCAGCCTAATAATTTGTAGGCGGCAAAGAAAAGGAACGAAGAATAGCGGCTCTCGTGAGTCGGTCGGGGGGTTACACTGGAAGGAGACCGACGGCGAACTGGGTCTGATCTCCACGAAGTCAAGGCTAACGCAAGTTCCTTCAAGAAAAACGGGATTTGCCCCAAGAGACCGATTTGTGTAGGGCGACAGAAGGGAAGAGGATGGTGAAGAGTGTCGGTGATGGTGGTGGTCGCCGGCGTCCAGGCAGAGTAAGGAGGGGGAGGGGAGAGCGCGACAGAACGGATGGCAGCAACCGACGTGCACGCAAATTGCTGCAATCAATGGGTATAAGAAAGGAGACAAGGCCAGGCTTGATGCTTCAACAAGGTCGATCGAGTGGCTATCCTTGCCTTCATTCAGGCCCCGTTCTTCAGGGAGGGACCGTGTGATCAAGGCTGAAAGCAGGATGCGATCCGGCCGCCGGTGGTATAACCGTCTAGGAGTATAGGAACGGACAGCTGCTTGTTAGCAGACTTGGGGGAGTACGAGGAGAGAGTTCTAGGACGACACAACGATTTACAACAGCAAGATTCTTCTTCGTTAGGAGACAGAAGCTCTGAATCTAGCCAGAGTCGTCCTCCCTTGGTAGTGAACGAAGCAGTAAAGCAGAACTTGGAATGCGATTGCGAAGGCTCATTCATTTTTGTGAGGATGAGAGATGAAGCCCGCCCGCCGCTCCGGAGGCTTCCCAATTGGGCAACCGTCATGTCGCCCGCCCGCAATTTCCATCGGTTCGTTCCTTCAACCTTGAACGCTCCTCTACTCCGTACTTGTACTTCTCTAGCTTCTAACTTCTTCAAAATCATCTTTATCTGTCTCCTTCTGCTGCTCTTCTGCATGCAATCGAATTTCCGTTAATTTCTCCCCAACCTCAATCTCTAGCCGCCTCGAATCCGCTTACCTACCAACCCTGATCTGCCGTTCAACCCTTTCTATCACCAACCAAGGCGCCCAGATTGCCGCACGCTGCGCTTCCCCAGCCGCCATCAACCTCACTACCTTGCGACCTCCCTTCAAATCAAAACTCGCTTATTCAATCTAGATTCAACAGCCATCGCACGCTGCCCAACCTGTGAGGCTAGAACGGTGCGCCCGCGCGACGTTCATTGGTCTTAGCCAAGATTCCGCAGCTACACCTGCGGCTTCGCGAATCCGCTACTCCCGTGTTTAGGCTTGCTCATGCAGCCTTCTTTTTTGTCATCAGCCTGTGAGCAATCTTCAACCCCCCCCCCCCTTTTTTTTCTATGCCATTCTGGGCTGCTGCAGGAATCTCTCGCTTCTTTTCCTTCTGGCCACGCACATTCCGGAGATTGTCATACATACACACATATGCATACGTCCTCTTATGCTGCCCCCAGCCCAGCCCGCGCCTTTTCCCCCTCTACTGTCAGCGCAGGATTATCGGCGACATGTATAGTTGCGATGTTGGCTAATTGATGATGTATCCTACTCAATAGACTGAGCGAATCCAAGTACACCCCGCGTCTAGCCAGCTGCACACAGACTCAACCCCCTCCCCTTCACTCGAGACTTGAGTACAAGTCGAATCAGTGCCTGCATATCATCAGCGGAACTCAGGCCCATCCTCGCAGATCTAATAATCAGAAAAATTACACAATGCCGAAAGATAAAGAGCGCACCATGAACCCTGCCGCGGCGCAGCGGAAACTAGATAAGCAGAAGAGCCTCAAGAAGGGCAAGGCCGAAGCGTTGGCCCGCCGGAATGAGAAATTAGCCCGTCGCAACCCGGAGCGCATACAGCGCCAGATTGATGAGATTAAGTCGATAGAGGCATCGGGACAAAAGCTGCGGCCACGTGATCAGCAGTTGCTCGAAGCCCTCGAACGAGATCATCGCGCGGTGCTCAAGGCTCGAGAAGCACTGGGAGATAAGGCTCCCAAATTCGCGAGCTTCGGGTCTAGAGGCGGCGGAGACCGCGACGGTGACGATGGAGGCGTTTTAGGGAAGCGCAGGAGGGATGGTGGTGGTGGCGGCGGCGGCGGCGGCCGTTTTGGACGGCATGATCGGGATAGTGAGAGTAGCGACGATACAGATGAGGAGGTGCGACGGATACCCATGCCTCGGGATACACCCCCGCCGATTCCGCGCCAGTTCCAGAGGAGACCAGGCGGCGACCAGGCCCAGGGTACACGAGGACCACATGCTCTTCCTGCAAAACCTCCCGTTGTCGAAGCCAAGGCAGTCTATGAGGCTAAGCCGCAGATCCGAGACCTGCGACAAGAGGCCATCAACAAATTCATCCCCGCTGCCGTCAGAGCTAAGCAGGATTCTATACGAGGGCAGGGTAAGCTCTTGGAGCCGGAAGAGATGGACCGGCTGGAGCAAGCAGGTTACAAGGCAGAAATGGGCCAAGCTGGGGTAGCAGAGGCAGCAGAGGCCGTAGGTCAACCAGAAACGACAGACGACGACGCCCAAAGGCGAATGTTAGAAGAGGAGGAAAGGAGGTTCAACCAGGAGCTTCGATCAGTTCAAATCGAAGAAGTTGAAGATGAGGAGGCATAGATCCCCATGAATCAAGATTAATGAATATCCAGGACAATTATTTCGGGGCCAAAGGGAATTAACTATACGGAGGAGGGGGAGGGTATGGGAAGAGGACTGTTGATCAGTCAGCGCCTTATCCACGTACCCGAATTTCGCTCTCTCGCTCTTTTCCTTTACCAAAAGTCGTAACTCTAGTTCTTAGGATTCGTAGGTTGAAGGCTACTGGAACCGTAGATCACAACTTATTGATCATCCAATCTAGCGCAGGACCGTGTGAACGAGAAACAGAATGTGTGTGTATGTATGTACAACTCCCTTTGAGAGCAAATTTCCGAAAGAACCACAGAGCCCAAGGATCAACAGATCAACACCAACCGCAGAGCACCACAAATGCATAGACGAAAGAGATAGGAAATGTACAGGTGTCAAACGAGTGTACAGACTTTTCGGGATGTGCATCGCAGAAAAATCGAAAGGGGGGAATTGAGGGGGGATGGGGCAATGTCATGGCATGGAGAATGTAACCAGAAACCACCAGACGAGCTGGATATGGACAGATGCAGTCACTATCTGTACAGTGTGCAATGTGAGTGGGGGAAAAGAGACAAGAATTGGGGGGAGGGGAAAGGGGAAATTTTGAGGGGATTGAGGGACTTCATCACGGCATTAAAGAAACAAAGGAAAGTAGAGGGTGTTGCGTCTTCATATGACGATCAAGTTTTCAAAGTCAAGATGCAGCGCACCAAAAAATGCATCATCGAGCTTTCACCATGTCTCGCACGGTCAAACTCCGGTTCGAGAATATTCAATCCACCCAAGCCGTATAACTCCGAAGTATGTCTTCAATTATTAAATGGTATATTGACGATGAGCGGTCAACAGTAGATACCCAAAAAGGCGTGTATGTCATAAGGAGTTTCCGGGTCAACCGGCGAAACTGAAAGACAAGATTGCTGACACTCAATGTGTATGGGCCGTGTCAAGGCATGGCGTTATCCTTCCGCGATAGTAGCTACCTCAAATTGCGAATGATCTTTCTTCCCCGGACCAAGAATGGGCTGGGCATCTCGTCTTTTTCGGGATCCCACACGGCCGGGGGGTCTCGCGCACTGGATTTCAAGCCCCGGGAGTCGCTGGCACATCGCTTGATTTCATCAACGGGACGGCCACCCGCGCGCGCCTGCGCCAGTTCAACCAACGTCCTTCCCCCCATGTTGCGCTGCATCACGGCCTTGTACATGTCCTCACCGCCGTTGTTGGTTTTGGAGGGCAGTTGCTTGACGCCAGACTTGCGTGTGGGTGAGCCAGCATCGGCAGCCAGATTCGCTGAAGATGGGATTTTGGACAAACGCCGATGAGGTGACCGGGGCTTGCTCTCTCTAGGAAGCATGTCGGAGAGGCCACCTGACACCTGTGGTAGTCTGGAAGCGTTGGTGGGGAAGATAGGCGGTTGGGTGCTTAGCTTCTGCATGAATGCAGCCGTGTTCTGTCGCAGGAGTGGTCGTGAAGGGGCTTTGAACGGGTCTGGCTTGACCTTGGGGCGAGTTGGGGAGGGCAAATCGGGAATATCGTCCTCATCATCGGAGTACGCTAGGGTGGGTTCCCACTTCGCTCGCTGTCTGTCGGCTTCGGCGAAAATGTTCTTGCCAGAGTGTGTTCCAGATGTGCGACGGGGAGACAAGGAAAGCGATGCAATTGAGATGGGTGAGGGTTCGGCCATTTGGACATCCATTGGTGACTCGACCACGGTCTTCGATCGAGTTAATGGGGTGCGTGTCTCCTTCCGCGGAGCCTTGCTGGGAGCGGGAGATTCGAGCGACAATTGGGTGATATCGGCGCTCGGTGGGTTACTGGCATCCTCATTGCTGCTGGATAGCTGGGATTGTAGGCTGTTTGACCGGGAATTGCTATCCTCCTTGAAAGCACCGCTCTTCTTTTGCTTCTCGATCTCTAGTGCAACCCTTTCCTGGACCTCGAAGTCGAATCGCTTTCGGAGTTTTTCCAATTCATTCTGCACCTGACGGTCGATCTCCAGCCGAGCCTTGACTTCCCACTCTCGTCTGACGGTATTTTCCAACTCAGCCTTCATCTGCTGCTTTTCTCTGTCCAATTTAGTGTATGCTTGTTCCACCTCTCTAGCCTTCTGAGCGGCAGTCTCTTCACGCTTTCGCAAAGTCTTTTCAAGGTCGGCAACTTCCTTCTCTCTCCGCATCAGGCGGATGATGGGAAGGTTGATCAGCGCTGCAGTATCAGGGCGATGGTCCGGGTTGACGCGCAAGCAGCTTGCAATAACATTTTTCAGCTCGGGTGAGTAGAAATCAGGCAGGGGAGCAAATTTGCCTTCGCGTATTCTCTGGATGAGTTGGATGTGGGTTCTGGCGTTGAAAGGCGGCTCTTTCTGGCACAGCTCATACATGATGCAGCCGACAGCCCAAATATCAGATCGCAATGTGTAGGGTTCCGCCGCACAGATTTCGGGCGACATGTAGAATGGGGTACCGACATAGGTAGATGCGAAGTCTTGAGAGTTCATCAGCTTCGAGAGACCGAAGTCACCGAGCTTGACAGTATTGTCGCTGCCAAGAAAGATGTTTTCTGGTTTGAGATCACGATGAAGGATAGTCATCTGAGCCTGCTTCCCTTTGAGACCAGACTGTTTAGGAGCAGGGCCTAGAATGCTTCCAGCTTCGAGAGGATCAGAACCGTAGTGGCAGCGGTATAACGCCGTCGCCAATTGGGACAAAATGCGCCACACGAATTCTTCCTCTGCAAATTTGTTCGTCTTTTTCAGGTTCTTGATGATCATGCTGAGATCCCCACCACCACAGTATTCCATGTAAAGGTAAAGGTCCTGACTCGCTTTGAGGTGTTCGCGATGGTAGTAGGCGACGATGTTCGGGTGTCGAAGAGAGCTTAAAATATTGAATTCGGCTGTCAGCTGTTCTCGTTCCTTTTGCGACATCTTGATGTAGTTGATTTCCTTGCGACAGAGTATCTATGACAAAAGGTGATTGTAAGCATAAGAGGGTCCAATGCTTGAATGATGGGTGGATCCTTACAAAGCCGTCTGCCTTTCGTCGCACTTTGCGAATGATTCCGAAGGAACCGCAACCTAAGCATTCATGATCAGTAAGTTGATGTCCGAAGCTCACTTGCATGCCTAAATGGAGCTCTGGTGTCTCATACCAATCTTTTCAAGCACCTCATACTTGTCTGCCTCCGCTAACGCAATTGCCATTGTGGCTGCTTGGAGGAAAGGCCGCAGGCAAGAATCTGAAGTATAAGGCGAAGGTCGGGAATAAGTGGCGAGCGGAGAAGATCGAGTAGCCTATGGCATTTATGAGTCGACACTGTGTGACTGAAACCTGCTGGGTTAGTATGGAGCGATGTTGGGTGGGAACATGTGGTTGCGTTGTAGATTTAAAGAAGTAGGTATGCAACGGGGACGGAAGCGCTGGATGTTTAGGTGCAGACTGTTGCTCAGCAACGGCTGCCGGCCACGACTCTTGCCTGGTTACAGCAGGCGGTAGGGATACCGGGCGGTGAAGCGGGTCATTGATCATCATCATCGTTCCGTCAGTGGTTCGGGACGTCAGAAACGGTTCACAATGCTGCATGGGACAGAATTAACATCGAAAGCTTGCTTGCTTGAACCTGCAAGACGCCCTATGGTAAGTGGGGGTATCAACAAGGTTAAGCGTACTGAGTAGAAAGAGAACCAGAAAAATGCAAGGGGACAAGGAAGTTCTTTCAATCCCCTTGGTCCCCTTTGGGCAGGGGCTGTCTAGGCTCTTGTCTCACGTGACCCAAGCTTATCGATAAGACGGGGGACCCAAAATGTTGCCCCGTTCGGGGTCGTCTCCCCCGCCGTCCTCCGCAACAAATACCTGCATATCTTGAAGAATTGCTTGCATCTCATCTACCCTGCCAACCTCCTACCCTGGCACAATGGATGAACCGAAGGTCCTCCGGAAGGATCAGCTGGAGATAAGTTTGCACAATGAGAAAAAGCTTATCAAGGAGGGGACAATCAAGGACGACAACCCTCTTGACCTTAGCGAACCCTTCCGGGAGCTCTGCAATGCTTGTCGTAAGGGGGATTTGAAAGTTTGTCAGGAGAAAATCACGGAAGGAGTCAATATCAATGCCCGCGATCCATACGATTATACCCCTTTGATCCTGGTAAGTCTACCTTGAATAACCATCAGGCTGTTAGCCAGGCTCGGCGTGGCGAGTCGGCGTTGCCGTGCAGTAGTAACCAGTATACGTGCAAAAGGCAAGTCTCTGCGGCCACTACGAGGTCGCTCAGCTGCTGCTCGAGTCCGGAGCTTTATGCGAACGGGACACTTTTCAGGGAGAAAGGTATGCACATTGTCATTTGTGTCACTCTCAATGTCCGGTGATTATTAGTCAGCCCACGATGTTAACTCCAGTATGATAGATGTTTGTATAACGCCCTCAATGATCGGATACGGAACCTGCTCCTGGAGTACGACTATTCGAAGTCGACGGATCCTCTGCAGCCTCTTGCAGCTCACATCACGTCACTGCTCACTCGCGAAAGCCCTGCGACAGCGGATATTGTTGTAACAGCAGGCGATGAGTCTCTCCATTTGCACAAGTTCATCTTGGCCGCACGTTCTCCTTATTTCCGCAACAAACTGGCCACTGCCCCGGACACGTCGATATGGAGGCTTCCTAGCACAATGCCACCAGAAGCATTCGGGACAGCGATTAAATACCTCTATTTTGGCGAAGCCCCGCGCGACATCCGGAGTGGCCCGGGGACCGGGTTCACCGAGTCCGAGGTCTTTTCTAATATCGATAAGATTGCCAAGCATTTGGAAATCAATACACTTTTGGATAGTATATTGGACAGCGGAGATAGAAGGCTCGCTCGACAAAGACGGACGCTCGAGGTGGCCAAAGGGCGTGACCAATTGGAGGAGTGGTTCCGGGTGAATGTACTCCAACACAAGGTGACTGTGGAAACCTCACGAGCGGATGAAGTCAAATGGGACAGAGACAACACCCTATTTGCGGACGTCTTGCTCCGCGCAGACGAGGACCTCGATGATGTGGACGAGCATATTGGCACCAACGGCGGTTCTACCCCTCCGCGCGTCCAGAAGAGCACGCTATTCCCCTGCCACCGGGCCATGCTCCTACGCTCTGAGTTCTTCCACACCATGTTTACCTCCCCCTTTCGCGAGGCGCACATGAAGGACCATCTCAACATCATCCCGGTCGATTGCTCCCCGGACGTCCTCGAGATTGTGCTCACCTTTCTCTACACGGAGCGCGCAGACTTTCCGCTCGACATCGCTGTCGACGTTCTTTTCGCCGCGGACATGCTCTTCATCGAGAAGCTGAAGACGAAGGCCGCTGTTGTAATCAGCACCCTGGGCAGCGGCAACATGTCGCAGGCCGAGGCCGCCCGCACGCGCGGCACTATGGAAGAGGACGACCTCGACATCTACGCCATTATCCGCGCCGCCTGGCTGACGCGCGTCCAGCGCCTCGAAGAGTTCGCCGCCCGTTACCTCGCCTACCGACTAGAAGCTCATATCGACTCCCCCGAGTTCTCGGAGCTGATTCAGGAGTCTGCTGCCCGCATTCAAGGTCGTCAGGAGACCGACTCCATTGAGTTGCTCGACGACATCCGGTTCTATCTCGGCGAGCGCTTCCGGCTCCGGTTCGACGACGCCGGTATCGACGAGATGATGGAGGAAGAAGCGCGGCAGCAATCCGTCGCACAAGCTCAGAATACCACCACGGAGACAGAGGGTGACGAAGAGAACGGTAACGCTGTAGACAAGGTTGTCGAGGGGATGGAGGCACTGGACCTCTCTAGCACCAGGAACGGAACTTCATACCCAACCCCAGCCATGGATGGAGACACAGATCAAGAACAACAACCCGTCATCCGTACGCTGGACGGTGAGGTCGTTGTGGACGAATTCGATCAGGATGCGCTCAACTATCAGATTCTCATGGACAAGCTTGATAGAATCTTGGAGGCTCTGGACCTTGATGCTTGAGTGACAAGACCGTTTTGTTTCTCGCAATTCCTTCCGGGTATGCGGGATGATGATTGATGACTACTAAATTACATATATACACCGGGAACTGCTACTTATATACATGAACAGGTCGGGGGAATCGCCTTTGCACAGTAAGGTAGGTCAAGTCTATACAAGGAGATAGATTGGTAGAGATCATACAACGATAGGAAGAAGCACTTCCTTTTTTATCGAACCGTGACCGCTACAATCTTGTGGCCACTACAACCTCGAGGATAAATGCTATGGGAACTAGGAGCCCAAAAAACGTGAAATCTATACATGCCCTGAGTGAAGGCGTAGAAATTCGTTTACACGGTACCGTAATCCTTCTGCACCCAACCCACTCCATTAAAGCGTTTCGCTCCCTCGAGAAAGAAGTACGCAGGAGCTTCACTATAGTTAGAGGACATAAGCTGGCTCACCTACAGTACAACACATCGTCCATCACAAGAACCAGCCACAACCACAACCACAGCCCATCCTCCATCCAGCGGCCAAGCAAAACATATGCAAAAACCACACACAACCCATAATTCCAACCCATCCCCGATCCCTCCTTCCCTCTCTCTCTCTCTCTCTCTCTGGCCCTAGAAAACATAACTTATGGCATATGACACATGACATAGGACCACTACCCATAGGGGATAAATCAACCCAGCCCAACCGTTCTCGAATCATAAGATCCCCCAACAACGGCGACAAGATTCCCTCCCCTTGCCCCCTCCCCTTGCCCCCTCCCAGCCACCGCAACATCCCACCCCACGCTCAACAATAACCTTTGTCCCAAAAGCGAAATGGAAAGGTAAGCCCCAGGGCTAAGGATCCCACAGCCATCAGAAAGAAAAAAAAAAAAACCAAAAAAAACCCCC